TGTGTCCCTTTCATCGGCTGGCCTACAGTGCCAAACAAACTTTCATAGTTTACATTTTTCAAAAAAAAAATTCCAAAACACTTGATATTGTGAGGATATTCGTTTTTGTTGCGGTAAAATTGATGCGATAGTTCGCGGGATGTGCTAAGAGGTCTACAGATTATTTGTTACTGAAAACATCAACGTAGGAGCGCCTTACTTTACCGAATGGCAATAGTTCGAATGCGAATATGCTGATTTTTGTGCCAGCAAGTCGAAAACTGTGCGAAAATTAGCTAGGCGAGCGCTGTTTTGTCCCCGGGGCGATGAAGGTGGTTTTGGTCGTTTGCTTGTCAAAATGAGGGTACGATTTTCTAAAGGGTTAGGATTAATTCACAGAAAGCGTTTTATATTCAGACCGTTCAAGTGATTTGGGTCGATTCATTGATCGTTACTTAAAAAAAGAGGTGGAAATGGATCCGAGAGAAGCGCATCTTGTTTTCGCAGCAAATCGGCAGGGATTGATGTCCACAATGAAGGAAAAGCTACGAAGCGGGACACATTTGATTGTTGATCGATATGCTTATTCGGGCATCGCCTATACACTTGCCAAAGGTTTTGTGCTTAAGAAAATTTTTCGCCTTGTGTTGACATCGGTTACGGTTACACACGTTATACTGGATGGGTTCCTTCAAATGACTGATGTTAAGAATATCGTTTATCAATGGAGATTTAAGTTGACCGCATCCGAAAAGCGCTTTCATGAAGAATTCTTTTTGAATCAACTCTCAGCAGTACATTTTGTCTGGATGAAGCTGATTCTGAAGTAGCGCAGGAAGGTCGCAAATCAATGACCTTAAGTAAAAAATTTAGTGAGATCAAAGCCCTGTTTATTTCACTTTGTATAGGCATAGGCGGATCCAGGACGGTCCACCTTTGTATCCGTACGATCCTGGACATTCGAAAATAACCTAGCACTGCGCAAGCAGCGGTCATCTGGCGATTCTTTATTTAAAAGCGGAAAAAAAAAACAGAGAAACAACGGCATTACTGAATCCCCTACAAAATGATGTAATCGTTTAGAGATCTTAGGCTCTATTGCTGTAGCTAACCGAAATTTCAAGATAAAATAAGTGGTGTTAAAAGCCATTATTTGTTAATTATGATAAGTATTATCGGCAGGGAAGCACTGCTGCTGGAAATATCCAAGGTGTGTGTGTGTGTGTTGATCTTCAGCATTTAAAGTTACGCATCTTCAGTCCAATCCTTGTTTTTCAAGCATCTACAATTAAGGTGACGATAGCATAACGATGAACTGGGCAAAATTGGCAGATTTTGGTGAGCTGAAACCGGACTGTGTTGTTTTCCTTGATCTTCCACAAGAAAAAGCGCAACGAAGGAGTGGTTTTGGTGACGAACGTTTCGAGACCGATGACTTCCAGGAAAAAGTGTACGGCGTCATGAAAACATTAGCAGCCGATGATAAAGAGCTTTGGAAAGTAAGTGGAATTACTGCTCAGTTTGTCGTGCTGGTTTAAGGTATTGACGATCGGCCTAGAAATAGCATTATGAAGCAATTCGTTTCGGTTGATGGGACGTACGAAAAGTATAAAAATTGTTGTCTCGGACATTTTTCTCTACAATATTGCTGCATTTTTATAATTTTTAGGTGGTGGACGCTTCGCCATCAGTTGACGAAGTCGCAGAGTGCATCTGGAAGCTAATCGAACCACTGCTTGAAAGCGCAAGTAGGAAGCCATTCATGTTCATTGGCGATAAGTAATTGATTAACATCGTCCGGATTTGCAATTCTTTGTGCGTTTTTGCCGGACAACGTTAGAATGCTGCAACAGGCAATAAAAAAGCATACTGCGACGACCCTGTCTGTGTGTGTATGCTTATGTCTCTGTATGTGTCTGTGTGTGCGTCTCACCAGTGTTTCTCGCCACCATGCAGGCTATGATGTTGGAATTTTGCCAATGTGTTCCCTGACCAAGTGCGGCCCCAGGGACATGATATCAACTGTCAGTCACGTCTACGTCCTACGTGCAGGCACGTGAAATTTTTGGCGGGAAAATCGCTGACTCAGGAGTGAGAAAAGCTAGAAAGCTGAAACTTTAGGGGAATGTTCCCTACTCACGCACGGCCAAGAGGTTACAAATTCAGCCGTTTAGAAACGCCTGGGACTCATGTACGGGCACGTGAAAATTTTGGCAAGAAAACTGCTAACTTGGGAGTGGGGAAAGATAGTGAGCTGAAACTTTAGGGCAATGTTAGTACTCAATTACGACTAAAAAATTTGAGATTCAACTCTTCTGGTGGGGTTTTTTCCGCGCACCAGCAACTTTGCACTTGTCGGGTCACTGAAGCCGACATCTACAGCTGATATGCCATATAGCTGCACAGTTAACTTCCCGAACTTTGAAGGCTAGTATGTCATAAATTCTAGCTAATGTGATTCCTTGCGATCTTACTACAGCACGAAATAGTGCAAAAACGCATGATTGTACTGGCTCGCCTAGTGCGTTCCAGCCTGGATTGAATCTTTTTTTCTTTCCGGCCTTTTTTCATGTTGCTGTCATATTTGTCATTCCGTCTTTCCATGGCTTGAGTAGCCGCTTTTACTTATGCTTCTGAAAATGCGTTATACTTCCATATCTCTATCATCTCCACTTATTTTGATCAGTCGCAACTCATTTTTGCATCGCTAATACAGCTAATACTCTTCTCACTGTTGCTATTCAAAGCTTGCTAATGATCTTGATTTTCCTTTCTTTGGTTCCATTTTCGTTTCCCGAAGAGCGGATGCTATTAGCCAGTAATATCGCATGTCCTCTTCTGAGTTCTATCATTTTGTTCAGAAGTAAAACTTCTGTATTCAGTTCCTGTTAGAGGGGGAGGCACTCGAAAAATAGCCCGTGTGGTGGCAAAGCTAACGCAACCACCCGGTGGCAAGGCTTCTACTTTTAAGGGTTGCTCACAAGCAAGTTGATGGCGGGTTTGACTCCCAGGGATATAACATTATCAGTTTACCACCGAAACGAATGGACGGATCCAAGAAGGATTGATTATCGTTTCTTTTCTACACGGTTTTTGATGCGTTTTGTGCTGTGTAACAGCAGCACAAAACGCATATTGTCACGGGGTTGTCTGTGTGTGTGT